CACGGTGCTTTCAGAATTCGGACGTCTATCTCCCAGGATGAAACGATCTTACCACAAACAATAGCAGCACTACAAATTGTTTGCCTTATGAACACACTAAGTGTTTACTCTCTTTCTTTCGGAAATAAAATGCAGCAAGATGAAGAATATAATTTGCAGAGGATGGAGTACGAAAAATTTGAGTTAAATCCAAATGGGAGGCTAGTCTATTTATAGATGTAAAGGTGGCTTTTGGTTTTGAATTGAACAGGTATGAAACCTATTAGATTCAAATTTAAACAGATTTGAATCTGTTTATTCAAACAGATAGAAACGGGAAGGGCTCTGTTTGGATGAACAATAAATCCAAAACAGTTTAATTCTGTTTGAAAACGGGAAGGGCCCTGTTTGGATGAACAATAAATCCAAACTAGTTTAATTTGAATTCTGGATTTTATTTTAATAAAAAATAAAATAAAATTCAAATGTTTTTGGCCCACACCAGCGCGCCCGACCGGACGGACAACGGTGGCGGCGCGCGCGTGTGGTGATTTTTGGGTCCAATGGGTCTAGCCCATTTTGCCCATAACCTCTCCCTCTAAAACACTTGCGTACCCCTTGGGGCACAACAGCTAAAACCTAACTCCATCATGGGTAATCCGGAGTGTCGGTGACTGGGGAATTGAGATACATTCCGTCACTCGGAGTACGAAATGTACCTCGTTTCCCGTGCCCGGGCTAACTCCTATTCCAGACACAATGCAATATGCATGATATGCAACTAAGATATAATCCTAACATACTCAATGCTATGAAAATGAGGTGCCTCGAAGTGAGGTGCCTCGATGCTCGGGGCCCACCTAAAAAATAGACCAAACTTGAGAAAAAATTCTGGTTTTACCCAGAATTTTTCCACCATTTCCAACAAATATATATAGCAATATCTAGAACTCTCTCTCAAGATCTTTTATCTTTTTATCTCATATTTTTGTGTGTCTTCTCTCTATTACCTCTTAGGAAACCATAGATTTATATAGCACTCTTAGTAATCTATATAATTAAAACTCACTTAATAATAATAAATCACAATTTAACATTATATTAATTACTAAAATAATGAGATATAAAACCTTTTGTAACTCACAAATTATTGAATTAATTAAAACAATATATTATTTATTTTATTAAAAAATATTTCAACACTTATAAATGTGGAACATGTGTATCTTGGAGGTATATCTATCATATGAATATATTTGCAGAACATTTTTGAGCATCCTCTGGCTGAAGAGGAAGATAGATTGATGTGTCTTTGGAGGAGAAAGAATTGAAGAGTAAATACCTCTGAATGAATGAAGATTTGTAATTACCACGGGGGTGATGGCCAAGGGGATAATCAACCTACCTTCCACATGAAAGAGTAGGGCTCGAATTCTGGGGGTGTTAATAACTGTGGTTTATTGTGTTGTATTCCGATTGAGACTCTACCTCTTATTATAGCATGTGGGTGAGGTCCATTGTATGTCTTGGTAGTAGGTCTCTTCTTTAGGATTGGGTTAAATCTAGCTGACAACCAACTACCCAAGGACTAGGGCCCATAGAACCTAAGGAGTGTCTTTTTTTTTTTTTCCTTTTCTATTCTAGTTGAAAAAATGGCAAATTACATAAAAAGTCCCAAGTTTCATGTGTTTTTCAAATTAAATCTGAAAATTTCAATTTCAACAATTTAAACTCCGGACTTTAAACTTGTGTACAATGTAAACCCTCCATTCTTTTTTATTTGGTTATCTTGACTGAGCATTTCCTAGCAGAAAAATAGAGCCATTTTCATTAGCCCAAAAAAATAATAATAAAATAACAAAACGAACAACCTGTTGCAAAAGATCAAAAGAGAAAGAAAGAAGCTCACCCCCAACACTCATCTCTCTTTCCCGTACCTCCATGGCCTCTCTATCTACTCTCTGATGATAAAAAGTCTCAATCATGATAAATATATATAATCAAATTTGATTATATAATCAATATACATATAATTACATATATGTACACACAAATAGAGAGAGAGAAAGACAGAGAGAGAGAGATGGGGGTTGATTGGAAGGAGACATCAATTATAAGATGTTTGGGTGCTTCAAGTTGAAGATCAACAAGGCAGAGGTAACACTAGATGTGAAGAAGCCATTCGTGAAGAACAAAAGTGAGTCTTCAGCCATCGCATATTTGTTGATTAGCTCCTATAGTTTCTTGTTGAGAAGTAAAAAAAAAAAAAAAAGTTTGGGCAAAATTGGCTTTGATATATATATATATATATACACATGATCAGGAAAAATGGTTTTGAATTTTGATCGTAAATTAGGTTTGATATATATACATACATGTAGGAACGAGTTTCTACAAACAAAAATAGATTTCTCAATATTTGATTTGTCTTTCCTCTCTCTCTATATAGCTATATATTGTGGTATAAAAATGGGTTTGGGTAGTCAAAAGTTTATCAGTTATCCATACAAGAGGTGTAATACCATTCCTGTAATATACAACATGTTTTAGAGAGAAAAAGAATTTGCAAACCTACCAACAATTTCATTTAAAGAGAGTTTGGGTTTGATTTGGCCTCAACAGTGTGGTGGCTAATGATGAGTTATGATGGAGTAGGAATAGATTGTGGTGTGTGGAGTCCGGATCCTTTGCCGTTGTGTCATAACCCAAACCCACCCATATGGATTAGAGTCATAACCGGCCAGTAATCAAGAGATTACCTACAACCTCAGTCAAAAATCAAATCAAATTTAATAATAGGGGGGCAAATTGTCGAAGCAAAATTTACAAAGATTGTCTAATAAGCTATGCATACATGGCTTAACCAAAACATTTTCATCTATGTAATAACTCACATTATACAAACATCCATATTATCTATGTATTACATAAGTCCAGGATCATTTAAAAGTCAGTATTAACAAAAACCAAGGTTATACACAGATTTGGTCATACGTGACAACGGAAGAACAAAAAGGAAAAGCAAAACAAAAGTAAAGCCTCTTGCGTTAGGCGACCTTGGTTGACTCCTCAAAACTCGATTTCCCATTGCTCACTGGGGCTGGGGTTGGACATCCCGCTGTTCACCTACATACATATAAATAAGGAGTGAGCTAACACCCAGTGAATAATACCAAAGTAAAGAAGTTCATGAATGAGATTCATTTAATCATAAGTTATAAACTAAACTTGTTGATCGATACCAATGCAAATTGTCCTTAGGTCTAACACATCATATATCATATCCCTATTCATATACCAAACAACCTCGGGTCCAACTCATATTTGCAAAACGACCTTTGGTCCCTTATATGCAGAACGACCTTGGGTCTAATTCATAGGCAAAACGACCTTCGGTCCAATATATGCGAAACGACCTTGGGTCCATCATATGTAAGACAACTTTGGATCCAATTTATATATAAAATGACCTTAGGTCCAACCAATCCATATTCACGTTTGTGCGCACTCATGATCCATGATCATGTTCACATTCACTTTCGCGTTCAAAACGACCTTAGGTCCAATCATTTCTTTATTCGAAACGTCCTTTGGCCCATTTCATAGTTATACAAAATGGCCTTAGGCCCATTTTATATCATCTTCAAGTAAACTGAACGACCTTGGGCCCATTTCATAATCATATATCAATACTCCACATATTTCATTGTGAACCAAGCGAATAGAATACTCATTCACAGTATCAAATCAGAAGTTCAGAAACTTACTACACGGGTAACATTTAGAAAATAATATATATACATAAATTATCTTTACTAAGATATTACTCACAATGTTTTGGTGCTTGATTCATCCTTGCACTTGACCCTACATAATTCATAACACATTGGGTCATAATACAATTCAATCCGTTCTTTAGTTTGCTTAATGTTCTTAGGCCTCTTTTGCCTCATTTAATTCATTTAAGATGCTCAATGTGTGCCTAAGAATACTTAAAAATGAAAGAAAACGGAATTTGAAACATAAAACAGCTTTTCAAAAGTTTCTGAAACAGGTGCCTCTACTCAAGCTCAGCTTTGGTCACTCGAGCGGTCTGTAAAACTCTGTAAAACTTCTGGTTATATGATTTTTACGCTCGAGCGAGATTTCTATCGCTCGAGCGATGAGCCACGCAAAACGGGGTTCACTCGAGCGCAAGGTTCGCCGCTTGAGCTACCATGCAAATCTCTGTAAAACTTCTAGGAGTTTGATGTTTACGCTTGAGCGACACTTTTCTCACTCGAGCGGACTGGTCGAATTCTGAAATTTCTAGAATTGTGTTTGAAGTTCAAAACACATTTCCAAAGGCTCAAAGCTTGCAAGTTGATGCCAAAAACATGGTAAAACATTGTATAACATGGAAACACTCTCAATTTGAAACCAAGTACTCAAAATAATGAACCATTGTCCCAAATTCAAGCTCAAATCATGAGGTTGAAACAATGTATGATATGAATTGCACTATTTTCTTTTCAAACCTTTCCAAAACTCTCATGCATGAGATGAAAGCGGTAAAACCATGAAACATCTCCAAAAATGTCAAATGTAGCTTTATACATGTGGAAAATTCCATGAAATTCAAGCTCAACTTGGTGATTCATGCATGCATCTACACAATTCAACTCAATTCTTCCATTTCAAAGAAATTCGTGCTTCCATTAGACAATTACACGCAAATGAATTCAAGAATTAGATAAATTCAACTTCTACATGTTTTAATTACAAGAATCAATGTTGACAATCATACTTATGGCTTGAATTCAAGTGTATTCTAGTCCAATTCTTCAAATCTCCTTTAATTTCTTCACAATTCTCTTCTCTCCCTCTCTAAGTGTTGAGTTACTCTCTTTAGAGTGTATATTTCAGAATTTTTGAGCTCAAAGATATGAGCTAAGTCTCTAATTAGCACATATATAGGTCTTACTAATCCTATTGGCTAATCAAAGCTTAGGCCTAATCAAATGGACTAAGTTAAATCAAATTAATCTTATTATTTTGTTCAGAATCAATTTTTAATTAAATTTCACCATAGGTTCTAAAAATTATGCTAATCACAATGGTGCAATCAATTTTGATTTATGATGCCTTTACGGCCCTCAATTTTTAATTTATAGAAACTTACAGAACAGATTTCCTACGGTGGACAGATATAGCATCAAAAACACATCCGTATAATTAGCACGCAAAATCATATCAAGCACATAATTTAGCATAATTAAGATTAATTAGCATAACACAGAGTAGAGTTATTACACGTTGTTTCCTGCGACGGGTCAAAACGACATCGTTTGATCCTTTTTTTTTTTCGTTTGCCTTTTGTTTGTAAACCCTAACCTCTCTTTGAGAAAGACAAGCAAAGAGGGCAACGCAAGCAGCCGACTGACTCATGAGGTTCTCAGGCAGTCTCTCCCTTCGAAGACCTTCCAGTCACCTTCCAAGTTGTCTCTCTCTAGAGCATCCAAGTGGGTTCTTCACTCCGATCTCAAAAATGCCCTTTCTGTCTCCCACGAAGCTTTAAACCCTTTTCGAGCTTACGTTTCTCTCCCCCGGGTCACTTTTGGCCCTAAAAGGTCATTTCTCTTCTTTTCTTTGCTTATTCATAGTTTTTAGATTGTGGCTTCTATGATTTTGTTTCCTAATTCAAGTAGTTTGGTTTAATTCAAGTATCAATTTAGTTTTCAAATTGTGGGTTCTAATGTTTTTAGCATGATTCAAGATTTTGGTAGCTAACAAAATATTGAAGAAAATGGAAGTTATTATCTTCATACTTTGTTTGGTTTGAAAGTTGTTAATTTAGTTGCCATGATTTTGATCAATTGCGACTTTGTTAAATGTAGGTGGTAGTTGCCTAATACAGATAGCTCTGTTTTAGCATCCACTGCTAATGAATTGCGCCGTGACAAATACACCCCTGTTAATCCTAAGAAGTTGAAGGCTGCAGCTGTAGGGCTATCACAAAGTAGGTTTAGAATGATTTTCATTTACTGGATATGAATGTCTGTTCATTTTCTTCTTAGATTTCTGATTGTACTTAGTTTTATCCTTGGGATTATGAGGATCCTAGTTTGAATTTTACTAGAATGATGGGTCTTTATTTTGTATTTTCTGTTTTTTTGATTTCTATCTGTTGTATAAATGATAAAAAAATGTGTTCTTGTCCTGTCATTAGACTCCATGAAAAAAGAAAAAGGAGGCGGGGGAAATTTTACATTGGAGAGGCTTGGCTCAATGGCTAGGCTTGTCGTTAGCATTCTCAGTGTCTTTCTGCCTTAGAAAAGCAATACAATGATACCGAGTGTTCGTCTCGTACAAAAACCTTCTGTTGTCTTTGGCAGTGCCACCTTGATGGTTGGATTGGCAGCTTCTAAACTAGAGTTGCACAATGTAAGTGTACATCCTCCATGCTTTGGCTCTTAAATTTTTCTCCACATCATGGACTTTTAATTTCACAAATTAGTAAATGAGAATGAAAAACAACCTTGATAAGTTTTTCTTTAAGTATATGTGACCACTAACACATGCCCAAAAAAATGGATTTATAAGTACAACTTTTAGTTAGCAATAGAACTATTTTATATTTGGGTAAATTATACAGACCTCCTCTAAAAAATGGATTTATTACGGCCCATCTCCTTAGTTTGAAAATATTACACTGACCACAAATGGATTTGAAGCTTCCTTGCAGGTAAGCAAGTAGTTGGCCTGTAAAGAGCATTGTGAGATTGCAATTTGCAATCTTTGGCAACAAATCTAGACATGGACGCCATAGAAGATTGGATGGAAAGGGAAGAAAAAGAATCGATGGAGGGGGTTCGCAATCTTGAGGCTGCAATTTGCAATATTTGCAATTAATTGCTTGTTTTGTTTTATTTGATTTGTTTTGAAATCTGGGTGGTATGATGTACTTAGTATTTGGTTTGAAATCTAGATTTCTAAGAAGCACTACAAGTGCTTGTAAAAATGTTTGATTGAATATAGTTGCTTTATTTTGGTTAACAAGTTCCTCACCCTCTCTTGTTAATTTTCTTCATATACTAGTGGATTTTTTTTGTTTGCTGTGGTCTTGACTGTTGCAATGAAAGTAGTGGTGATAATGTTGCTACCAATGGAGATGTAATTAACTCTAATAGTGGAAGAAGTAGTGTACAATGTTATTTTTAATTGAAAGGAGTAATAGACAAACACAACCAAAGTTTTGAACACAAACACAAATAGAGAGGGTTATTTCCAGTGTTGGTCATGGCATCTACATACTGATTTTCTGCTCCGTGAATATGAGATATGAAGCTAAATCTTAGTCCTTAACCAAAGTTACAAGCAGAGTTTATATTTAGCCCCCTCTTGGATCAGCTTGACTGTTATTTCAAATAAAGAATATATCTCATTGAATATTTCCTATTTCCAACTGAATATTTCCTATTTTCATGTCAATTTTATGAAGAGTGAGCTAAAGAAAATAGAATCAAACTAATTAAAAGAAAGAGAGGGCAAGAAAGAGGTAAAAATTAAAATTTTGCATCAACTACACAGGTTTTGTTATAGTCACCAGAGATAACAAGAAAAAGAATTTCCATTATAGATAGCAGAGATACAAATTTATGTCGATAGGGCCAAATGTAATTTTACAGAAGATGTCTAGTGCAAAAACTTACAAGGAGTAAAATTAACTTTGACGGCAAAAGCGTCAATAAAAATTGAAAGAGAATCTTCCAAACATTAACATCTTTTTATTTCAAATTTGTTTATAAAAGAAAAGATTGGCAAATCCAACTCAATTTAAAAGCAATCTTGTGATTCTAGAGCCCTCTTTTAGCAGTCAAAACTCCAAAAAATGTTGGAAACTTGATTTTGTTGGCATTCACCAAACCAGAGTGAATAGAAAGTGTGAAGCTGCCAAGTTTCATGACCACAATGTGTAACCTACAAGCGGACATGAAAAATTTAGTGTACAGATTAAATTACTTACTACCATGGACTTAGCTATTGAAACACAATCCTCAATTACCACACTTTGTTATATATTGAGCATTAAACTAAAAAATTTAAAAAATTACAACATGATGCAAAACTGATTTTTTTTATATTATGGAAAACAGGTTTATAACATGATGCAAAGCAGCCAACATTTTACATGCATCATGATTCCATATAGGGTTTTCAAAAGTTTTGATCATTGGACACCTTTTACATCATTTTTTGCTTCAAATTGACCAAACTAGAACAGATTTTTTAGTTTGCAACAAAAGTTCTTCAAGATCATTGTATATCAAGATTATCTCTCAAGACATTTATCAAACAATTGGTTTGCAACACAAAATTTAATACAAATCACAAGAAATGCTTCCAAAATGCAAAGCAGAAATTTCAGTAATACAAATCACAAGAAATGATTTCCGAAATACAATATACTACAAGTGCACAGTGAAATACAAATTCAATAGGCTACAAGCTTATTATTTGTGGAAGGAAATTTCATGTCTATGATATTGTACCGACTATATTTAAGAATATGACTTCAAATATTTTCTTTTATAATCCATTGTATAAAGCATGCTCTGTCTTCTTGTGAGTTTTGAAATATATGCTAAGAATCCTCCCTTCAACCAACTTTGAATTTTCACCCACAAAATTGGGCTGGGTGTTTTCACTTAAAAGTAAAACTTAACTATTGCCATCACAAAGTTCCAATCTATTAAGATATTGATATTCACATTTTGACATATCTACTCAATTAACACCAAAATTTGTTCCAAAACCTCAAACATATCTTGATTTCTAAACCACTAACATTAAAATTGAAAAGCAACAAGCCAAGAGTTTAAACTGAACTGTAGATGTGCCCCATTTTATAAGAGAACAGATCAAGCACTATCTTGTGAGTAATATAAGAGCCCCTCCTCAATCTTCAAAAAAAATCCAATTGCCACAATTTACCCAATAATCCAATTGGCGCATTTTCATAAAAAATAAACAGTTGAACTGTATAGAAACAATCATATATACGTCTATATGAATATAACAACAAGAAATGAAACAGAGACAAAAATGGACCTCGTCATGGCTGCAATCTCGCATTGCCGCCGTCGCGTCGTTGCCGGACTCAGCCTCGCCCGCCATCCTTTGTCCTTCGCTGTTGCGTCCTTTGTTGTTGCGTCCTTTTGCCGTCCGTTGTTCTTCGCCGTCCCGTCCCTCCGTTTGGCTCTGTCCTTCACTGTCGCGTTCCTCCGTTTGGCTTTGTCTTTCGCCGTCGCGTCGCTTCGCTATCTCTCTCACTTCATTTCTCTCTCGGTCATATTTTTCCGTCTCTCTCAGTTCGTCTCTCCGCTTCTCTTTCTCTCTTTGTCTCGCATCTTTCAGTTCGTTTCTGTGTTAGGGCTAAAAACAGATGAAACAAATGAAACTAAAAAAATGGGAAAAAACTCAAAATTTGAAGGGAAAAAAAAGAACATTAATCAAAACGACGTCGTTTTGGATAGGGCCGCAGGAAAGTGTGGCCGATGATCTGAACTTGTGGTGTGTGCAAGGTTTTAAAAAGCGGCCGCAACCGTTACATAACGCCGTTACGTAACGGTTTTGGTAGTTACTGCCACCCTTTACGGCCGCTTTTGCAGTGTGATTGAGATTCACAAGTGTGTCGGCTGTAGCGGCTGCCGTAGTGGTCGTAACGGTGCCGTAGCAGTCGTAACGGCCTGTTACGCACCGTTATGTAACGCTTCCGAACTTTTTCTTTCGAAAAAACATAAAAAAAAGCTGAAAATGGTGGAAGAGGGATAGAGAGAAGAGGGAAGATAAATAGAGAAGATAGAGGAGCAAGAGATAGAGAGACGAGGGAAGATGAAGAACATGTTATTGATTTGTTGAAATTGTAAGACCTATGCTATTCTATTCAGTTGCTTCATTCAACCATTTTGTTTGTGTGTGTCTATCTATATATTGTTTGATGACAATACTATTAATAATAATAATAATAATAATAATAAATGTGGTCATTATCTATTTGACTTGGTTTAAATATGTATATATATATATATATATATTTAGACTCTTATTTATTCTTTTACTTTTGTCATTATTTATTTTATATATAATAGTTAGTGATGGATTTTTTGTATAATATAAAGTCATTAATTATTAAAATAAAATGTAAAAACCTCAATTTATAGTGATTTAAAAATATAAAATATATTGGATCATACTTAAAAATTTACAAAAATTGATCAATATTATTTTAAACCCAATAAATATGATCATGGAAAAAAAATATACGTATCGGTAAGTTTTTTTTAAATTGTGCTAAAAATAAAAAAATTTACGGTTTCGATTACCGCAACCGTTATGCTACGACTTTTACATCTCGCAACCGTAACTGTAACCGTGCCACCGCCACCGTTACGGTGACCGCAACCGCTTTTCAGAACCTTTGGTGTGTGTATTGGTCTATAATGAATGGAAGGTAAAGATGAAGGTGAGGAAAGGAAATGTCTTCTTCAATAGGTTGTTTATATTTATTTATTTATTTTTTTTTTTTTGGAGGGGGACTATATCAAAACCACATCCTTTTTTTGCCCACAAATTGCTTCATTAAGGAGACCAAATGGAAATGGATAAAGGGTTATGTGTTTAGGCCCCGTTTGTTTTGGGTTATAGCAAGGGGATTAGGATTACTAGTACCTTGATATTTATTTTTAACCCAATAAATATGATCATGGAAAAAAAATATAAGTATCGGTAAGTTTTTTTTAAATTGTGCTAAAAATAAAAAAATTTACGGTTTCGATTACCGCAACCGTTATGCTACGGCTTTTACATCTCGCAACCGTAACTGTAACCGTGCCACCGCCACCGTTACGGTGACCGCAACCGCTTTTCAGAACCTTGGGTGTGTGTATCGGTCTATAATGAATGGAAGGTAAAGATGAAGGTGATGAAAGGAAATGTCTTCTTCAATAGGTTGTTCATATTTATTTATTTATTTATTTTTTTTGGAGGGGGACTATATCAAAACCACATCCTTTTTTTGCCCACAAATTGCTTCATTAAGGAGACCAAACGGAAATGGATAAAGGGTTATGTGTTTAAAGTTTGAGATTGAAGTTGTTGAAATTAAAATTCTAAAGTTTAATTTGAATAACTTGAAGTTCGGGGGTTCTTTATGTAGTTAGTTCAAAAAATGAAGATCTATAATTTATTGAAGGAAGGAGATCGGGCTTAAAAAAACAAATAACTTAAACACAAACTTCTAATTTATTCAAATTATTTATATTTAATAAATTATACATAAATAATACCAAATAACTTAAACACAAACTTCTAATTTATTCAAATTATTTATATTTAATAAATTATACATAAATAATACCAAATAACTTAAACACAAACTTCTAATTTATTCAAATTATTTATATTTAATAAATTATACATAAATAATACCAAATAACTTAAACACAAACTTCTAATTTATTCAAATTATTTATATTTAATAAATTATACATAAATAATACCAAATAACTTAAACACAAACTTCTAAATTAAAATAAATTATAAATTACTTGTATAATTCTCACTGAATACTCCCAAAAACTTGGGGGGAAATAGGATTGGAGATGCTGTTATGCGAGGTGTGCACCAGTTTATTTTGAAGCTCATTTTGATAATCTGAACCGTTCACATTTTAAAATATATTAAGTAGAACATATTTGTAAAAAATTAAGTTAATCGGATATCGTTTATCCATCCATCCACTCACTTATGTATTTATTTTAATATTTTAAATCACAATTAAAATATTAAAAATAAATGTGAGTGGATGGATAAACGATAAATAAATAATAATTGCGATTTAAAATATTAAAATAAATACAAATGCGAGTAGATGGATGTGTAAATGATATCCGATTAACTTGATTTTTTGTAAGCATGTTCTACTTGATGTATTTTAAAATGTAAACGATTCAAATTATCAAAATTAACTCCGAAATGGGCCAATTTCACCGGACAACAGATACTGTTGCGCACCCTGTGTAGCAACATCCCTAAATTCGGGAAAATAACGTAATAGTAGAGTTAACGGGAAAAAATTATCAAAATATCATAAGTATTATAAATATTAATAATTAAAAATTAATAATTAAAATTATAAAATTCTTTATTAATATGTAATAATTTTCCCAAATAACTTTTTCTTTTGAACCGATATTATTGTAGACAACAAGGCCGAGGAGTGGGCCCCTCCCCCCTCGCACATTGTCGCTCTCTAAGGGGATTTGCTCGTAGATGTGAAAAAACATCAAACAGTTCTCTCATTGTTCTTAAGGTCGCCTGAACTCTCCCAATCATTTCTCTCTCTACACCTGTGTTTGCGTGTTTATCTTCAGGTGAGTTATTGCTGTCATTCCCATCTCGTTTTTCATATTTATGCAATGAATTTGTTTAGCTCCTCCGGAATTGTGTTCTTCAAAATTATCGATTATCCAAAAATTCTCATTTTTTGGCTACTGAATTCAGATAACCTTTTTTTTTTTTTTTTGATCTTTGTTTTACATGTTTTGGTTGTGATTATTATCACATGTAAATAATAATTTATTTTATTCGTAACCCCGAGGCTTACCATGATATTATTGTGTAAACTTCCTTGAATTTGGACGATTTGAAGTTTAAAAGAACATACATTCGATGGAACTTTCAAATTTGGGATCTTTTTTTGGTGAAAATGTATCGTTTTGATTGAAGGAAAATGTCTGGCTCGAAAGAACTAAAAAGATTGCAACTTTTGGATGCAGTTTGAGTTCAGGAGATTTTTTTTCTATTGGGTCATTGGGATTTTTCTCATTAGTAAAATTAGAGTGGAATTCTAGTATCTGCAATGTGATTGGAAAGGAATCATCTAATAAAAGTAGTTGAAAAAAATTAAAAGAGAAGAACAAATTGTGTAATGGGCTCATAAAAATTTTAGGAGTTGGAGAATTGCAAACCAAAGTTGTGGTAAGACCGACTTCATGGAACATGCTGATTGCATTTATTTGGGTATGGTACAATGCAATAATGTGATGAGGTAATGAATATGTTATCGATTGTTAAGCCTTTCATGGAGTTTTCTTATGTGTGGCAATGTTCCTTTATGTGTTTGTTGATGTGCTCTTATAGTACTTGTCGTTGTTAATGTAAAACAAAGAAATTATTAAGCATTGAACTGCAGTGTAAATGTGGCATATCCCTTAAAGTTCTACCAGGAATCTTTATGTACAATAATTATTAAAGAAGTGTGTCAAACATAGGAAACAATGTCAGTATACTTAAAAGAGATAGGACACAAATAGGAAGAAATGAGTGGTTGAGGTCCTCAAAAACCAATTGAGTTGGAGGATCCCAGTCTACACCAAAGCTTCTTGAGGTGTTTACCTTGTGTATTGATTTCCATCTTCTTGTTGATTCCTTAAGATTCTGGATACCCATTTCCTGTTATAAAGCGTGTTGTTTCAGATTGTCCCTTTTTTTGTTATTATTTTTCTAGGTATGTTTTATTATGGAGAAATTTACTTAAAAAAAAAAATAAAAATTGCGAGACTTGGAATTATTGGTGCTTGTCTATACTGGAGGTTAATTAATTATGGTAAAGTATGAAGACTCAGGCAGCCCTGGTTGGAGTACTTCATTCTTCATGCAGACAACAGAAGATGCTGCCACTGCTGATCCTCCGCCACGACCATCTGTGGTATTCTCATCGAAAGATGAAAACAGTAATAGTTCACTTCAGAAACTTCAACATCAAGTTTCTAGAGTTATTAAGGGTTTGTCACATCCTCCTGGGAAAAGTCGAATTTACAACCCAGAAGTATTAACTAACCTAAAGCGTCAATGGGCAAGATTTCAGATGCAGTCCCTGGTATGTTTATTTCTCTTGAGTGCAGCCCTTTTGGTCTAGGTTACTTGTGTCTTCTTCAAACAGTTGTTTGTACTCTAATACTTGTGCAGGATCATAAGCATTTGAAAGCACCATCAAGGATTTTTGAGAGCATGGTAATTGTTGGACTTCCTCCACAGTGTGATATTCAGGCACTTCAAAAGCAGTACTTTGGGAGAAAGTCAGAAGGCTCGGGGAAATTTGGAAGTGCGCTTAGTGGTCAGCATCATTCTCGTGTAGAACCTGACATTGAACCCCAGGTGCTAATTCATTTATGCAAAATGTTGAACGTAATTGATAGGCCATTAAACTTGCTTTGGACATGTGATATGAACTAAAATTTTTTGTTTTCAGGTCTTATTTGTTTATCCTCCTGATAAACATCTGCCGCTTAAGTATAAAGATCTTCTTTCATTCTGCTTTCCTGGAGGTCTAGAGGTTGGTTGAATATGAGATGGGTGATTTTGTTCTTTTTTCATCAATGGGTTAATGTACTCTAAAAAGAGTTGTTGAAGTTTATTTTCAGAATTGCCCTGTAGTTGTTCATGGACATTATGGCTGCATACAATTTAGTTTTATTTAATTTGTGTAGTTGTTATATTATTGTGATCCAAGAAAGTGAACTTTGGAAGTTCTGTGGTATACACATGGATGGGCTCACAGAGGTCACTTATTTAATGTCACTCACATATTTCCATGTTGACATAATGAAGGTAATGTGACTAAATATGTTATGAATCTTTTCTAGTAGAGCACTTAAAAGAGGATTTTAAAGAATTGAATGAACTTAGTTATTCAAGTTATTCAATTATTTTCTTGTTCTTTCTGCTATATTATCTTATTCATTTGATTGTATGGCATTTGACAATGTTCCTAATAAATTATGCAAATTAGGGTTAAACCTTTTCTAGTTCTTTATTGGATTATCTGTTGGTGGGTCTCAACTCTCTCTCTCTCTGGACAAGTAAAATTTGGGTGTAAGAAGATCCACGGAAGTGGGCTGCCTTAACTGGATGTGTCTGGTAACAGGTATGCCCGGAGGCTGTTTCTGTCCCTTGTTGGGGGAGATGCCAACTATCTGTCCTTGCTGTAAATAGTAAATGGTTATGGATGTGCATGGTTCAACTTTTGTAGATTTAAAATCTGTCCTTTAGCTTACTCTCAAGAAGATTTGCCATATGTTATGTTGTCTTTTTGTTCATATATTAGCAGTCATTCAACTTGGAACGATTTTTTTATTTTAGTTTATTTTTATTTTATAAATAGTTTTACATGTCAATACATGTGATTTCAGGTTCATGCTGTTGAAAAAGCTCCCTCAATGAGTGAGTTGAATAAAATACTTATTGGGCAGGTATTCTGCGGCTTCCCTAATCATATTATTGCATGTTATTGTTATCATCATCATCATTATAATAATGTAGAAAACAAATAAAGGCTAATGTTTACTTCAGCTAACCTTAATTATTTGTATGCTTTTGGCATGTTGTCTCCACTAATTTATTCTCTTTTTAATATTTTTATCTCAATTAGATTTTCATTTGTGAGTACTGTTAAATCTGGGCAACTAGTTTTGGTTTCTAAACTCAACCAACCTGTAACAAACCCGCCCAACACATCCTATAACTCAAACACGAAGTAAAAAGGATGCAAACAAGATAATAAACAACAACCAACACCCACGGACACATATCCGGATCACTGTACAACAAGGGTAAACCCGGGATCGCTATAAAGTGATTCCATTTTTTGTTTTCTGCATGAGCTGCCAGTGTGAAGCTCATATAGTATCAAATCAATTTTTCATCTTTAAATCTGTGAAGGTCTGGGCCCAGTGGCGGAGCCAGGAAATTATTTTAGGAGGGGCAAGTATATTAATCACAATAGCAACAAAAAAATTGACAAACAAAAACTTAATACTTTGCCACGGCAACAAGAGCTAATATAAATTTTCTAATATAAATTATATTTCATTAATAAAATCACAAAAGTACCAAGTTTCTAATATAAACTCATATTTCTTGATTTGATTTTCTTTTAAAATATTTCTCCGCCACTTTTTTGTCTAGCTCCACTTGAAACTGTTACTTACATTTATTGACATTGACCATTAAGTAAAAAACCTATAAAATAATGAATTAAACTATTAGACTGGTTCATCATAAAAATAAAAATAAAAAGCAAATGCAAACGCAAACACACACACAAAAAAAAAAAAAAAAGAAACAAAACCAAAAGGAAGGAACAAAAGAAAAAAAAAGAAGAGGGCAGATTGGTCACCAAAAAAAATTTCAGCCCTAATCAAATAACCTAATCAAGCCATCACAAATCCATCTCCCAGAAGTTAAGAAAATGCTACAAATCAACACATAAAGAAGATATTAACCAAGAATAAGACCCAAAAAATGGGAAAACCCTCAGTTCATCATCACAATCAGAAAGAGAAAGGAGACTTACAGTTACAAATTGGAAGTTGAATCAAACTTGTTGATGGCAGTCAATGATCTTCACTCTTCAATAGCTATTCTTTAATCGTATACTTCAGTCATCAATTACTGTTTTAGGCAACGTGGAGAGAGAAATGGTGGGAGATTGAGAAGATAAATAGAGAGCAGGAAAAAAAAAATGTGGCTGTGTTTTTTTTTTTTTTATGTAATATTTCATCTTATTTGATTAAAAAAATTTATTTTTGTCTTTTTATGACAATTTTAACCAAAACCTTATATGCCAAAGTTGAAAAGAGGCGGAGGGGGCGTAGTAAAACAGGGGGGCATTGGGCATTGGTAAATATTTAGGAGGGGCAAAGTTGAAAAAAAAAAATCTATAGGCAAAAGTAGAGTTTTGCAAAATGTGAGAAGGGGCACCTGCGCCTCCTAAGCCCGTGGTACATCCGCCACTGCCTAGGCCTTTCAGAACTAGTGATGTAACCAAAAAAATTAGATGACCTTTTAGCATATTATAAATGTCTTTTGCTTGTGAGACAATGATCTTAGTTAACTTGCTACTAGTTTTGCAGGAACACCTCAAACAAAGTGACCTGTCGTTCGTATTTCGTTTACAGGTAATTTATGGCATACGATGTTATTCCATTTCTGCTTCTTGCATTGCTAAGTGCTGCTGCAGCATTTAAGTTAGTTTAATAGGCTGGCTCCTATTACAAAACAGCTAAGAAGCATGGACACTTCTAAAAAGGTGGCGTGTCAGTGTCATCTCTGTGTTGGACACTTTCCCGACATGTGTCCGACGCTCATCCAAATGTGTCTTATTTTTTTAAAAATAAAATTTAGGCTTGGACACTCTTCGGACACTCTTTGGACACTTGGAGTGTCCATTGCTTAAACGCATTTGTTCGTTGATTAGACATATACGAAACAAATTATAAGTTCGAACAAAATAACTTAGAATACAATGATAAAAGAAAGATATTGTCAATTTATAGAAATTTGTGTTATATTGTATTTATTTATCATCTTAGAATGATATATTCATATATATGACATATAATAAATATATAAAATTATATATTATGTGTCCCTTACGTGCCGTGTCTTGTATTTTTGCGAAAATTGTTGAGTCGGCGTGTTTATGTCATATTCGTGTCGTGTCACGTGTCTGTGTCCATGCTTCTTAGCAAAATGACACTATCACATTTGGGAAAATTTATTTGTTCTGAGTTACAGGCAAGTAACATTAGAGTCAACCATTTATCTGTTCGAGATATTGGCTTTATATAATTCATGGGATAATAATGGGTTTCCCACTGCTTTGACCATGATTGCAATACTTATGCAACACTTATCTTTTGCCTCTAGTTGTTCAATTGGGAAAATGTCTCTCTCATTCAATAATTTGTTTTGTTATTGTTGTTGTCGTTTTTATTGTTTATTAATGTTTTGACTTGATTCTTCTCAAGCTATAGTTAAACATTGTCATGATTCAAACCCGCCCCTAGAGGCAGTTGTGGAGCCACATGGAGGCCGGGGGAGTCACATGCCCCCCCCCTCGGTTTTGGATTTTTATAATTTTTTTTACATATGTATATAAATAAAATTTTAAACAAAGATAATATTTAGAATAAAATGTTAATGTCATTTCTAAATTTATGAGAACAATAGTGATTGTTTTATTGAAAATAAAGGGACTGCAACAAATTATATTTTTATGTATGAAAATTTTGTGAAAAAGTCTCAATATAAATGTAATATTTATCATTATTGATATGTATATATAAATAATCTCACTATATATATGTAAAAGTTACTAGAATGTTAGTTATATTTGCGTATGAAATTCACTCTTCATATGTTGCTTTATTATTGGTTGGTGATATCATATGTCAATGATGACGGGATATCACTATTATATGAAATTTTTATTCAAATTTTGTAAAAAATTAATTTATCTTACCATTATGTAATTTATTTTAGGAGCATTTACATACAAGTCCCATTTTGTAAACTTATAATCCATTAAGTCCTATATAAAATTATTTGCTCCTTCAAGTCCCATTAATTTTTAATAGACCAATTTACCCTTCCAAGACCTCCTCGCTACCAAACAATTGTTGTATTCATTCTCTCTCTCTCTTACTTTTACACCCACTCCCCAACAACAACAACAACCAGACACACACACACTCTCTCTCTCTCTCTCTCCCCCCCACTGACCCAGTCTCTGGTCTTCTCCGTATGACTCCTCCTTCCCCTCCGTCCAGTGCGTCATCGGCTCCAGCACCGACCTCGACCACGTCGACCTCACCGCCTGCCACTGCCATGGTATCACTGTCACCAACACCGGCGACGCCTTCTTCACTGATACAACCCTTATGCGTCATCATCGCAGCTGTGATTCTTCTCTTTCTCTTGTTGTCTCTCTTTTCTCCATTGATCTCCCACTCAATCTTCTCTGCTTCTAAACCCTAACCCAAATCTCCAAATTCCTTTCAAAATTCTCAATTTTTTTTATCTATTATTTATAGTGTTTTAAGCAAATGCAGGTCATCGATTTGGATGAACTTGTAGTTTTAGAAGAGGATCCCTGGAAAGAAGCCGAGAAATCTGAAAAATCGCAAGTTTTGGAGACCAATTTGAGTGGAGATGATTCTAACTGCGGCTCTGTTCTTGATGTTTTTGGAAAAAGTTCAGATTTTTCAAACTAATAATATTCTTAATTTTTTATAGTTTTAAAATTTAAAATTGAGAATATTATCAGTTTAAAATTGAAAAAATGATAATATTCTCAGTTTTAACACAGAAAAATTGTAAATTTTCTCAATTTTACTCGATATTTTTGTAAACTGAAATCATTCTGATGTTTTTGGAAAAAGTTCAGATTTTTCAAACTAATAATATTCTTAATTTTTTATAGTTTTAAAATTTAAAATTGAGAATATTATCAGTTTAAAATTGAAAAAATGATAATATTCTCAGTTTTAACACAGAAAAATTGAAAATTTTCTCAATTTTACTCGATATTTTTTGTAAACTGAAATCATTCTCAAGAAATTATTCTCAATTTTAAATTGAGAACATTCTCAGTTTTGGAACTGAGAATGTCTCAGTTCTTAGCTACAAACATTCTCAGCCTGGGGGCTGCTTTGTTCTTCGGAAGCCATTGAAAAAAAAAGAAAAAAGAAAAAAGAAAAAAAGAGAGAAGACAAATGAGAGAGATTCTCAAGTCCTCGTTTTCCTTGTTCAGAAGATCAATACGCGATTGAAGAATGTTAATCATGGCTTGGGCCTTCATCACTTCCAGCTTCATCATCTCTCTCTCCGTAGAAACATTAAGGATCTCATTTTCCAAATTGTTGAAGGGCAAAACGTCTTTTTACCTCTAAATGGGATTTATTGGTTCAAAAACTTTTTGATAGGACCTAAGCTACTAGCAAATATGTAGATAGGACTTTTAGGTAATTAATCCTTTATTTTAAGACTTAAATATATGACTTTTTTACATTGTTCATGATATACTAGTTATATGCAATACTTTCTTTTCGATTTTACTTGAAGTTAATTGTAAAATTTTATCTGAAATACTTTTGTAATAATTTATTTAAGCTTTTGTACTTAATATTAATTCAAAAATTATTATTATCTTCTTATTATTGGTTATGGAAAAAAAAATTCAAGTTGTAATTAATAATGATTTAGTTTTTTGTCTCAGCCACTACCTAGAGGTTTGGATCATAATTGGCTAGTAATCATGAGATTATCTATGGTCTGAGACAAAATCAAATCATGTTTAATTATATGGGGCCAGAAGAGGAAGCAGAATTATAAAATTTTGTCTATCGAGCTGTGCATATATGGCATAAACTAAAACATTTTATATGTTAATAACTCACATCATATATATACAAATAGATATTACATGTCTAAAGATCATTCACAAGTCATCATTACACAGATCCAAAAGCTTATGTACTGGTCAAACATGACCAACAAAGGAAAAGAAAAGAACAAAAAGTTAAAGCCTTATCCGTGTGGCACTCCATAGCTGACTTTACAAAACTTGGATAATCCTTCATAGGTTCACTAGGGCTGGACATCCCGCTGCTCACTTACATATATATATATATAATCGAGTGAGGTAAAGCCCAGTGAATAACATCAGAATCAGAGTAAAGATATTATATGAATGAGTTCTAATACTTAGATAAAATCATTCTCACATTAATATTGTATCATAGCGGAACGACCTCAGGTCCAATACATGACGGAACGACTTCGGGTCCAACGTATAACAGGCGTATAGAACAAAACAGATCATACCTAGTGGAATGACCTTGGGTCCAATTCATTACAATTGTGTAATGACCATTTGGTCAACACATAATAGATATCTCAAAACGACCTTGGGTTCATCTCATCGAACATGCGGAATGACCTTGGGTCCATCATATCGGTTATATAGAACGACCTTAGGTCCATCATATACATTCGTATCTTGTCAATCACATTCACAGATATCTTATTGATCAGACAGATAGAAGGCTCATTCATATCACAAAACCATAAGTTCGGAAAAACTTACCATATTGGAACATTTAGAAAATAACGTATATGAAAATATCTTCACTAAGATATTACTCACAGTGGTTTGGTTGTTGATACTGCTTCGTGGATGAACCTACATATCACATAGACATGTATACACTTTGAGGCTCATTGCTTAATCAAATCATTCTTAATTTATTCAATTATTTTATGTTAAGTTCTTACTCAGAATATGACTTTCCAAAATATGCTGAAATAGGCACTTCGCTGGAGTGCATGAATGGTCGCTTGAGCAGACCACATAGTCTGCAAAAGTACTGGATGTTTTGAATCTAGGCTCGATGGTCGCTCGAGCCAATGTTCAAAATAAACTGAGATCGCTCGAGCAATCACTTGGTCGCTTGAGCCATATGCAATGCCTCTGCAAAAATGCTGGATGCATGAAATGTGCGCTCGAGCGACAACTTCTTCGCTTAAGCGATGCTGTCGAATTCTTGGTTTTCCAGAATAGAATTTAAGTTTCTAAACACAAGTTCAATGCCATAAACTCTTGCATGATATGTTCTAGACCATGAATACTCTTCAAAAACATGAATACAAAACTGAGAGGGTGATTTATGATCTGGAGTTGGGCTGTGGTAATGGCCGAGCAGGTTGAGAGCCCAACGTTGCATGGGGCCGAGATGATTGACTATCCGCTAAGAGATGGGCTGCCAGAACTTGGGCCGAGTGTGTGCCGCCCTAGACCGTAAAGAAGCTGCTCGGTTGGACCGAGCTGCTCGATCAGGCGATGGCCGAAGCAAGACAAGCTGAGTGACCGGCGCCCGGAAAGGCGTGGTTAGCCGAGGTAACTGTTTGACTGGCAGAAAGGCCGGCCAGAGGAGGTGCCTCGGGCAAGGCTTTGCCGAGATGTCGCCTAGCCCGGTCCTTCTTGGACTTAGTCAGTGAAGTGCTTGGGTATGAAGCACGGCACGGCACGGCAACGGATAGGGCAGCTCGGCTGCCGAGCTCCAGCTGTGAAGGCAGGCAGTTGAGATTAGGTGATGTTTAGCAAGGTTTATGTTGA